ATCAGATAACTCCTGTGTACTATGTGTAAGATATTTAGGGGAGAATGTCACACAAACTTTGTGTTAATGTACATATACTTACTTATTTTATTTAGTATTGCATTTAAAATTTGTTTTTTTACAGGGTTATTTATATGAATATATTTGAAATGTCAGGAGCCATTTTCCTTAGCAGGGGAGAATGTCACAGTTGATATTTAATTAAATATTTTGTTAATAAATTATATTTGATTAGCGCGCATTGCTAATCAAACATAGCGCCGTCTGTGTGAATGAGTGCCATGTGTGAATGTTTTGTTTTGTCACGTGATATTTCTATTTTTAGTTTACAAACTGACCAGGTATACGAATACGACCAGTGGACCAATGATAGACCACTATTTGATAATTAATATGCATGTATACTAACTTCGTGCACTACATAAGCGCTTATCCCGCCAAATCAAATAACTATTAGATTTCTACCTTTACGGTGTAAGAGGTCCAAACCTTTATGTTTGAAGTCATCGACTTTCACGATGATGTGATAATTATATTTCATATTTTATAATACTGGATACCTGGTAAGATTTATTTCTAATGATGTAAATACTTATTAAACCAATTTCGATAATACGTAATTTATCTTTATTGGCAGCGACGTGAATTTTCATGTTGTGTAATTTGTAATTTTGTTTAATGTGCTGTATTTGTCTCTTGTTAATGTGTGTGTGTTGTGAGTGTGTTTTCTATGTTTTCTAGGTTTCATTTCTTTGTTATCCTCATTAAAACTTCATAAATCCGAATCCAGCGTTATATTCTTTAACGATGACCCTGTGACATGGATAATGGAATACTATCTTGGTCTGGTTTCTCTAAACTTATAAAATTTTGTTTGTTTTTCACCGAATGTAACATTTTTACTAGCAATACGCTAGCTTAATGAAAATTTCTATAGTAAACATCTTATTTAGAAATACATGCATGTATTTATCAAAAGTCAAGAAATTTACATTGACCATGTAAGGAGAGGTAAACGGATACATGTAGGTGTTGATTGGTCGTTTCAAATCCAAAAGTCACTTGATGAAAAAAATCTACAAACAATATAAATCTGTGAACAAGACATAAAACAAAATAACCAGAAAAATCCAGAAGTTAGATCAGGACGTGTAAGCAAGAAAGCACCCGCCCTAAGCCCTATGTATTGATCTGGTAGTCAGATGTAGTAGAAAAAACATAGGCCTAACAATTAGTATGAAATACGTCAGCCAAAATACGACCCGATGATAGGTTATAATTGTTAACAAAGTCATTTTAACGACCATAGAAATTACAAAAGGTTGTTGAGATCTATTTAATATCGACTTATCAGTCAGTAGCTTGCCTCGGTTTAAAAATTGATCGTACTCAGAGCATGCTCTTGAGTATCGAATAAGTTGGGAGACCTTGATACAATGTGCTAATGATAGCGGAATGTTACTACATGTATATAAATAAGGAAAGTTGAAAATGGAAAAGTGAAGACATCTCGTTTGTCATACAATTTACTAGATTTCAAAATCTTCTCTGCTCCTGGGTATTAGGCAATTAAGGTAAGTGCATGATTTTGATAAGCAAGGGTACCTCTTTCAAAATTATGAAATGTATGGCCCCAGGGTCGGGTTTTGGTGTTAGGGCGGGACTCTAAGCTGCTCTATTGATTATATAATGAAAATGCATAAATTCTTTCAAAATCTTCTTCTTTGCCTTTAGGTATTTAGCAAACAAAGTAAGTCTTGAATGTGTTGATCAAGGTTGCCTCTTCTGAAATTGTGAAATCCATGGCCACAGGATCAGGGTTCTTCTGACTATATTGAATATATAGAGAAAATGCATTATTTCTTTGAAAATCTCCTACTCTTGTTCCTGTATTATAAGCAGGTAAACTAAGTGCTTGGTGGTTATGACAAGCAAATTCAAAGAATTGTGGTACCCCGCTTTCTGGATGGAATGCCATTATTTTGGTTGGTTGGTTTGAACATAATTTATTGTAGTTTCTAATTACAAAGGGATTGGGCACAAGTTCTAAAAACTTATTACGCACTCTCCCTACATGTAAATTACAAAAATTAAATTAAATTAAATTAGGTCACAGTTAAATATGTACATTCAAAATATTCAATATTAGTGAAATTTACAAATCAATGCTTTTTAAAAAATCATACACATAATTTTGTATATACGTGTATATATAAATAAATATATTTATAATAATACTACATGTAATACTAACATGTGAATCTGCCAGAATGTTTAATAGAAGTTTGAACAATAGAGAAAAGACGTTCATTCTCCACAGCACTCAATGAATCTACCCCCCATTATAAAACATGTGTATCTAAAATGTGAATTTTATCAAATAATAAAAATTTATCAAGAAATTCCTTTCTGGCTTCTTTATACTTTGGACATATAAAAAAATAATGATACGAATCTTCTTTTTTGCCACATGAGCATAAAGGACTTGAGATTAAATTACATCTGTAGAGGTCAATATTTAATGCACAATTATGTCGAAGTCTGGTCTGGAGAACATTCAGTCGCCTGTTACGTTACCATATTCAAAGTATGATGGTGGGGCAGATTTTTAATACTTATTTTAGATTTAAAATTTGCCATTATTTATGTCATATTATAACTGTCTTGTTTGTGTATCCTGTCTTGTTTGTGCATCATACAAAAAGGACATAAATTATCAAATAAATAACAGTTATGGCAAAGATTATAGCTTCTCAAAACTACATCAAAATATATATTTAATATGAAAGCTCTGTCTTTTCTTTTTCAAAAGTTATGACCAATTTTAATTAATGTTAAATGTTTTGAAAAGTAGGTCAAACTTCAAGGACAAGGTCACGGGGTCAAAAATCGTAGTATATTTGTAAAGATTGTGTCACAGGTAATGTACATGTGAAAGCCCTATTTCTTCTCATTAAAACGAATGAGATTTAATGTCCCCTCGCTTTCACGAAAACGGGGGATAATAAGCAAGGATGCCTCTTAAAAATTGTCTATCCAGGGTCAGGGTTCAGCTGTTATTAGGTCAAATTGGATTAAGAATTAAGCAAGAATTTTTAATATAAAATACAAAAAAGTACTTTCATAGTTTTTAATGGTCAGATGGACTTGTAAATAATAAATATTTAATAATGAGACAAAAAACATTATCTCCATACATTACATACTCTTCAAAGACCAAAAGAGGCCAATGTGTGATCAAATGTGTAAGGTTATCATTTTCAACTGTATCTGCTGTATAGGAAATATTATACAAAGATACTGTTTGTGGAATACAAAAAAAAAATCGATGCTACATAATATGAAGTCCTAGTCTTCAAATTCAATGATTTTACACTATATATGGGAAATTTTACCTTGTTTCAAAACTTTTCATTGTATGTTCGTTTATTTAGAGTCAAAGGATTACTTTCATGACGAATTTGAAGTTCTCGTCTCTTTATATTTACAGTTAATGTAGATGAAAATAAATGCTAGGAAATTATAGAAACGTGTAATTATATTAAATTCCAAAAGTAATTAATCAAAATGTATTGTATTCTTAATTCAATTAACATATGGCTTTAGAGATACTTAGAGAAATTCCATATCCATCTTAGCTATGTACAACAAGAATAAAGCAAGGTTTAACAATTACGGAATAAAATTTTAAGATTGAACGAAAATTATAGTTCAAAAATTGCATTGGTGTAACTTCCAAACATACATCTTTCTTCGAAATTTGTTTCCCGCTGAAATATGGCTGGCTGAAATATTGCCGACTCAGTGTAAAACAACAGATAATCAATCAATCAATCAATCGGAAGTTTTTCCATAAAGCCTACCAAAGAGTCTGATACACATGTTTCATGTTGGATATTTTACTAGATATAAATATTGATGATAAATAAACTTTATGATGAAAAAGATGACTTCATCTTTTCTATTGCATGAAATCTGCCTTTACCTATGTAGAAATAATGAAAAATAGATATAACCCATTTTTAACGAAAATTTCACTTGTCGCAGTTTTTTTCTTTTTGTTACCGTTGGTGTGGGTTTATATATATCTTGACCAAATGTATATTCTAAGGTCATGTTCATTGAAAGCTTACATGTATATGGAGAAGGATAGGGACTGTTGGGTCACGTAATTACATATCCTTAAGCTTTAAAATCAAAATAAGATATAAACAAATAACTAATATTCCTAGTTTAACTGGACCAATGAGAATGGATATGCCAGTTACCATTAAGCTTCACATGTAGTTTCCTATAGAATACCATATTTTTAACAGAGATTTTTAAAACGAAAGGGTTTTTTTTAAACCATTAAAATATTTCCATCATTTTCCGTTCACATTTAACAGATTTATTAATATCCTTGAAAAATTTCCTGTTTACACATATAATAAGGCACTCCTTTAGTTTAGAATATAGATGTATAACTCGAAATAGCAATTCAAGCGACAACTTTTTACTTCCCGTTCAAATTTCTAGAAATATTTGTATTTTATATAATTAGCTAGGTAAAATTAAATAGATAGACTCGGAATTTTTTGCTATTTTTCCCCCTTTTTTAAATTTGATAAAATATTCTATCCGTGGCTTATATATATATATATATATATATATATATATATATATATATATATATATATATATATATATATATATATATATATATATATATATAATGCAATATTCACAAACAAGAAGTTTTTTGTTTCGATTTAGAAATAAAGAAATAATATGATCCCATTTCACGAAGACTTTACCATGCATTCTGTTCAGAAGTGCATATTTCTCTTATTACATTTTTTTTTCTAAATTGTATATCGCAATAAACGAACTTGGTACGTGTACAATATCATTTATAATACATATAATTCCTAAATAATTAACAAGCATTTAATTTAAAATATTAGGAAACTAGTATAAGATTCATGTAAATGCATGTTAAAATGCTGGACGATTTATAGTAACATTACGATAAATACATGAGGATCTTGAATCCCCCTTTTCCATTAAGGTATTCCACCCAGGCCATCCCATCGCCGTCTACACACAGAGAACGGGGATTATTTATCTTGTCCTCCCGGACGAGGTACATCATAAACTTCCCATTTCTATCCAGCAAGTCAATGCAGTGATTGTTATGATCCGCCACAAGAATGTGACATCGTTTGTCGGTACATACTGCTGTGGGATAGAACTGAGCTCGCTTCTGATTATCTCCCGATCCATTGTATATAGCCTTGTACGCCATATTTCCATGCAGAATGGCCACGTTTCTGTCAGGAAGGTTGAGTATACAGATCGCGTGGTCTGCATTCTCTGTTATTCTGTGAGGCTTGCTTAGAAGAGGCGCACCTTGTCGCTGGGGAATCACATCTTGGATTACATTTTTTTCTTTACCAAATCTCATTACTTTTCCAACACCGTCTCTTGTCAGACACACCAGCAAGTCTCCATTTCTATCGGTGCATATCCCCACTGGAGACCAATCTGAAGTGTCCAAGAATTTCTTCACCTTTCCGTTTGGTGTACATCTCTTAATACACCTTTCTTTAAACAATGTAACATAAATCTCTTTACTTTTCGCTTCTGCAAAATCTTCCATATGGAATCCAAATCTAATTTTCTTCATTTTTTGCCCATTGCTATCGATCAAAACGATCTTGCTTTGCTTATAGCCTACCCAGATACAGTCTGGTTTTGATTTACATGGGCTTAGGTTCAAATCCCATTGTAGTCCGATTTCAAACGATTTGATGACGAATGGAAGATGCATTAATGTTCGCGACATTTGTCTTTGTAATCTTCGAAAAAACCTTGGAGACACAAGAGGACTGTGTTGATCGGGTAGCTGTTTACTTTCACGTATGGCTCCACAGAAAGTACTTAGTAAGCCAAAATCCTTCTCTGCGCTTTCATAAGTTGGCGGCTCAACTTTCATACAGACACAATTTCGTGTCATGTCCTCAGGTGAAGGAAGTTCATTCATGAATTGCAGCAAACGAAACTTGTCTTGGCCTTTGATATGGCGTTTAGCCTCATCTATAAAGCTTTGAACAGTCTTTATTTGAGATTTGACTTTCTCTTGTTCGCTTTCCAGTTTTCCCAGGTCTATTTGCTTCATGACAGAAAGTTCGTTTTCCACCAAACAGAAAGCGCGATCAATTTCGTTCTTAAGCATTTCTTTTTCGGACTGTATTGTCGATTCTATGCACTGTACCTTCTCTTCGTACCTTGAGACATTTTGGCCCGAGGACTGCAATTGGGTTTCCAGTTTTTTCATTGTACTTCCCTCCAAAGTACTTAGAAAGGTCATCAAATACCCTTTTTTCTCTTCAAATACGTCAGACAAGATCGTACAAAAGTGGTCCCTGTGTTCCTCCGATGCCATGCAAGAACCGCATACAACCACATGACAGGATTCACAATAATGTTCTAGTAACTCGCCCTTATGTTTTTTGCATGTGTACATATTTGTTGGTTCTTCTTGATTCATGAGTAAGTTTGTATAGAAGCGAGGAGGAACAGCGCCAAGAGAATGTGGTGTCGGCGCAGTGAGCTCGAAAGAATGTGGCGTCGGTGGCAATTCATGAGGTGTTGGAGCCGGAGGTCTCTGAGCACGTGGTGTTTGTGCTGGAAGTTCGAGGGAGGTTGTAGCGGTTGCTTCTGAACTTTTGAAATGTTGCTTTGTCGCGTGGGAATTTTGAACATTTGGTGGCGGTACTAAGTCATGATTGGGACCTGCTCTGTTTCTCCTTCGTGGAGATGTAAGATCATAGGACGCTCTCCCTCTCCTTCCAACGGCTGCCATCTAGTTCTAACTGAATGTAAATAGGACAATTGACACTTAAATTCGAAATTACTAAACATCAGTTGAGAAGAGAACCTTTATATCTGCATCAAATTTTTTCATTTGGATTTTTTAAAAAAAACAAAGCATTGAGGAAAAAAATGACATAGTTATGCACTCTTGACTTCATTGCTTATGATATTTTAACAATACAAAAGCAATCTTCATGTTTATGTCTAAATAATACAAACAAGGAATTGTTTCTCTGTTTATGCTTATACGGATGTAATTTGGTTCATCCATACAGACTCTAAATGCATTTTCATTATCCTAGTTGAGGATTTGATTTGAAATCTTGGTGTTCTGAGTATCATACTTGTGGTATTAAGATTATCGATTAACTTTAATGCATATTTGGTACTTATATGTACTATTGAAAAAAAGAAAATCCTATCTCATCACGTAAGTGTTAGAAGAAATTAAAAGAGATTAAAAAAAATACTTTACAGACTTTCAGTTAAGAGAATATCCACTGTCTTTCAAGTACCATTTCATCACTTAACTAATTACTATTGAACAATTCCATACTAAAGACACATTCATAGAGTTAAAAATTACGATGTTTTGATTCTAAAAAAATGTATTAAATACATACATACTTGTGCAACGTGTTCATAACTGGCTGGCTTCACTTTATCTGAAATGATACGGAAAAATTTTCCTGTTTAAAAATTCATTTATTAAGCATCGGCAATACATTTTACTTCCGCGGTTGATGAGAAGGAGATCAAATAATTCCTTTAATGGCTTGAATTATAAAATCTAATGATTTTCACAAAATAGTTCGTCTTAAATTTGAACTATTTAATGAGGGAAAGTGTACAAAGCAGCTTAATAATTTGCCAATTGCAAATAGATACATCTAGGTATTAATTCACTGTTCATTATATTAAAGTTGATCATGATATGCTCTGAAAAACAAAAGTATGTTTATAAATACAGCTGTAGTTTAATTAATAGCTGTTTAATGATAGTAAATTGAATTTTTTTTCATGAAATACGCACATTATATTAAGTTGCTTCGGAAATTAATACATGTGTATTATGTTTTGAGGAAGAAAATTAAATGTAACAATAAACACTAATTATAAACACTAATGAAAAACAGAATAATAGCGGATTATCATTATCATGAAGAGTTATATTTATTAACAACTTTTAAAGGTCACATGCTGCTCTGTTTTTGTTTAGTCCGTCGTTTAATGCCTGCTTGTAAGCTTATGAGTATGTTTATCGTTTAAACGTCTGAATGAATATTCAGAAACATTGTTTGATGTACATGTGAAAACAAAAACCTCTACCAAATCTTTGTTTTTCATATCTAGGTTCAGAGATGTGGCTAAATTGTCAAAATAATAAATAAGATGTGCTTGTTAAACAAAGTACCCTCGATCGTGTCCAATTTGTGATGTGAACAATAGTTCTTGGACATACTCTTTATCTAAATATAACAGATTTTACTGGAAAGAAAGAAGTTGTTTTTAATTTAAATATGTTTGGCATTTAGAGTTGTTAATCAAACCCATCACCTTGTGGCCTACTCACACTTGTAATTTAGTTTTGAAACTATTATTGGCAAGATGATAATTCTTTAATAACAATAATGACTAACATGAACTTAAAATCCATCTGCAATATCAACATGAATAATACTAATAAATGATGGTGATATTTAAAGCAGTCGAAGAGTTTTTTTATTAGATCACCGGAGCCAAAGGTTAAAGTGAGCCTTTCTGGTCGAAATTTGTCCATTGTCTGTCGTTGTCCCTGTCATCGTCCTTGTCGTAAACTTTTCACATTTTCATCTTCTTCTTCAGAAACACTGCACGTATTTCAACCAAACTTGCTACTAAGCATTCTTAGGAGAAGGGGATTTAAGTTTATCAAATGCAGGGGTACATCTTCTTCAAGGAAAGTTGATTAGGAATTGGTGAAAATTTAATGGCATCTTTTAAAGATCTCCTCCCCAAGAACCACTTTGCCAGAAAAGGTGAAACATATGTAAGAGCCACATTAAAAAGTGTAGATTCATGTTTGTTCAAATCATGACGTCATTGGATAGGGTGCTGCCATGATTGGCGGTCAAATTTTAACACAGGAGAATATATGAAAAAATATTTAAAATTTTTCTTCTAAAGAACAAAGCCATGGTTAGTCATATATATATGTTAATACCATCAGATAGTGCATATTAAAGTTTGTTCATATTGTGCCCCCCCCCCCCCCCCCCCGTGGATAGTGTGCGGTCACATTGGGCTATCAAGTTTTACATAGGAATTTATAGGGAAAATCTGTTGATAAAGTATAGCAGGGCCATAGTGACTCGTGTGGACGTTGTGGCCCATGGGCCTCTTGTTATTGATCAGTCCTTTACATAAAAGACCTAAACCTATTTTGTTCCTCCGCTTTCACTGAAAGTGGGGAATATTAATTTGGGTCTGTCTGTCCATCTGTACCTCTGCTTGTCTGTGATTCTGGATGAGTGTAACACTTTCGTTTCTGGACGCTATCTCAAAAGGCTTATGAAATTTGGCAACGAAATATTATATAACAACTTCCTATGGCCTAAAGAAGATCCCTATTGATTTTTATGACAAAAAATCAAAGGTCAAGGTTAGAAATCCGTATATTTTTTGTGTTTAACACTTTCGTTTCTGGACAATATCTTAAAAATGCCTCTTTGAGAGTTTTGCAATGAAATTTTACATAGCAACTCGTTATGGCCTAAAAAAAAGAACCCTATTGATTATGAGGTTAAAAGGTCAAAGGTCAAGCTCAGAAATTCAAACTTGCAAATAACAGTTTCCAAATGATATTTTTAGTTTTATTAGAGCTTCATCGATGAAATTTAATATCATAACTTCATTTGGCCTACGGTAGAGCGCTCGTTCCGTGATTGAAAGGTCGTGGGTTTGAGCCCCGGCCGCGACTTACCTAAGTCGACAAAAAATAGGTAGCAACTTTCCTTCGCCAAGCCATCGGCACTTTGAAGTGAAAGTTGCTTATCCTTCGGATGAGACCTTAAAAACCAAGGCCCTTGTCGTGGTAGGCGTTGACACGTTAAAGATCCCTCACTGCTCAATGCAAATCTAGAGTAAAGATCTAAATTTGAAACCCTTCACCGGTATATGGTGACGTTTCTATATGAGTGAAAAATTCTCGAATGGGACGTAAAACAACTTACATTCAATCAATTATTTGGCCTAAAAAAGGTTTGATTTTGAGATGAAAAGGTCAAAAGTCAAGGTCAGAAATTCATATATTGTAGTAAATGGTTTCCAGATTAACTTTAGTTTTCATTGATTGTTACATGTAGGTCAAAATGTCAAGGTCGAAAGTTCATATAATGCATAAATGGTTCCCAGGTGATTACTCTAGTTTGTTTGAATTTTGCAATGAAATTTTATACCTTCAGTCAATATGACTTAAACAAAAAGCCCAAGGGCCTTATGGTCACCTGGGTATAATAAAGCAGTTGTATATATATATATATATATATATATATATATATATATATATATATATATATATATATATATACATACATATACATACATATAAAGTAAAACAAAATCAGCTGATTAATGAATCTGTTGCCCAAAAGCAAGAGAAATAGGATGATTAGGGATCAGCAGAATAATTTGTTAAGTGCTCAGTAAAAATCTCAAAGTTGATCTATTTACTTGCCTTTACTTACGCTCATTTGTGACTATCCCTATGTTGACTTAACAAAACAATTATTCTTCAGCACTATAAGGAAACCCATCTCAATCACTCTCACACTGGCCTCTTTTAGTCTTTGAAGAACATTTAAAGTACAAAGATAAAATATTTTTGTCCCATTTTTATTGATCTATTATTTAAAAAAATCTACTTGACCATTAAAAAGTTTGAAGAACTCAATTGACCTTTCATTTACAATATTTACAGTAATTAATAATCATTGGTGAATAGCAAAGGGGGATTACTTCTTTCAATATAATACACATTTATGAATTGACCAAGTGGTGCAGAATTCCAAATAACTGGTAAAGTGAGTTTATGTTCTAATTCGTTCACACTCAACCGAACATAAATAATTTATACCATAAATAAACACAGTGTGTAGGTACAGAAGCGCTCTCAAGAGTGCAGTTTATTTCTCAATATCATACAAAAAAAATATATTCTTCTGTAAATCAAAATTCTGTAAAGTCCATTCTATGTAATAACGAGAAAAAGATAAAATGAGCATACAGTCATATAGAATACTGTGAGTGTGGGTGGGTGGGTGGGTGCCACGTCTAAACTGCACGAAGAGAGAGCCTTCGAATGGGGTTTACTTGTTAAACTGGTGAGAAGGCGTGTCATATAGATAAACCTGTTTAACAGGTTCTATTTCTAAAATAGCTAACCAATGAAAATTGGTTTCCGGTATAAATATCAATAAACAAACACGTGTTCGATCGACACACGTGTTACTATAACTGTAATAAATACATTTATGTTCTAATTCGTTCACACTCAACCGAACATAAATAATTTATACCATAAATAAACACAGTGTGTAGGTACAGAAGCGCTCTCAAGAGTGCAGTATCGAAAAATAAAGAAAGAGCTAGATACCCAGATTTTTAGTAACTGAGAGTTTGCTTTCTAAATTTTCGTGAACGTAGCCATCTTTAGCTTTATCAGTTTTCCACCGACCGTGTTTTTTAAAGAGCCTGTCATTGACTCCTGAAGCTGCAGCTGCAGTGGCCCCACCCGAACGCAAACTATGAACGCCAAATTTTGTATAATCTAAGCCCAAAGTTTTTAAAACTGACAAGACAATTTCTCTTACTCTAGTATAAGACAATGGTACATTATGTTTTCTTATTTTATAAATACCAGATTTCTTACAGAATGACAGTTGCCTAAAAATATAATCAGTCGAATTTTCCTCTATACCCGACATTCTCAAATATCTCTGCAGTAAATTG